GAAAGTGAACCATATTTTATCCGATTAATTCCTTAAAAGATTTATTTTCTTCGTTAGTTCTAAATGTCACCAATTATCAATATAACAAGGGATGCTTCTGAACTGTGGATTTATTTTCTTCTTTTAGGGGCTAGTGGAATATTTTCTTTCACATGTACACATTTTTAAATAAAAGTTATCTAAATATATTTTAATTAAAAGCTTAGCAAGTTAATGTCAGTGGACTGTTTAACCTCTGTGAACTTCGGGGGAAACTTAGTTTTAGTTAATTATGTTTGTTTTTTTGGAAGCTGCTGAGCCACGCTGGCAGCCACGTTAAAAAACACACGGAAAGCATCTGACGAATGCATTGAAATTCTGCCAAACAGCCTCTTTTACCCCCTCGAGGGATGGGAGCATCTCTACCCAAAGCTGCAGGATTTTGAAGCAGCACTCCAACTCCCTGTGATTGTCGAATTAAGCCGAGGTGATAAAATGAATGGAGTGTTGTTGCAGAATAACCTGAACAGGAGGGTGGGTGGAGTTGTGATGTTCTGAAGGTCTTTCAAAGTGTTTCTGTGGACAAGAGGTTCTGTTTGACTGATCGTCGGTCCATTGCTCGCATCATGAGAGCAGGCTGTGCAGATCATGAATGAAAATGACCAAAATAGATATAGGAAATAAAAAATGACCCCAGTAGATTATTAATATATTTAATTTAGGAACATTGATTTGATAAAAAAAAAAAAAAAGATTCTATTAAATAACATAATCACCGGCGCCAGAAACTGGCACCCCTCCAATTTCCTCTAAAATAAATGTAATTAAAGTATTTTTAATTTATACCTTTTTTGAAGCGGATCTATTATGTTAATAACTGAGACAGATTCCTACATCTCTTTGCCACAAAAAACAACAAAACAAAAACAACATTTCATCTTAATGTGCATTAATGGCACTGATCTCTATTTATTCACTGGACTGCTGATTGCCTGAAAAAGTGAAGCCCCCATCCTCCATGTTGGTACTCCCCACTCCCACGGAGACATGCAGTTAAAATGCCAACATGTGTAGCAACTCTGAACCAGCAAGTATGAGTCAAAGTGAGGAATTTATCTTTATTTTAAAAGTCATAAGTCCCCCTGAAAATGAGAACGTCATCGTTGTTCGATGCTGTAGAGCACTTATTGTTTATATTGCGACCGGTCTAAATAAGGAGTACCAATATGGCGGCTGGTGGCTTCACCGTGAATAAATAGAGATCAAGGTTTAATGGTCAAGATTCAGAATCTGGCTACAAGAAATATCTTTTTCCTCCACTGAAGAATATCTAAAGGTTTGAAACATCTAAAACTGTAGCTGAACAAGGACCTATGCTTATTGTTCTGATACAAACAGTGAGGATTTAGTAAAGGAAGTAAAAAAAAAACACTCTTCATGAACTACAGCAAAGAACGACATCTAGGAGTCAGGCATCCTCAATTGTAACTAACAGGTACCATTAAGATGCCAACCGCTTGTTTGGGAGGGATGCCAGTAGAAAGTTTTGCAGTCTTGCTCTCACAAATATGGAGTTTGCCTCAAACTGTTCTTCATGGACCGATGAAACTAAGATCGAGATTCTCAGCAAAACACTCCAGGTGGGTTAAAGGAATAGTACACCCAAAACATGATTAGCCTTCATTTTCTACTCACCCCCATGCTGAACAACACTCTGGAGTACTTTTTTGATATCTCAAATGCATCTGGAGATCTGGGAGGCTTCTTGCTGTCTGCTGACATTCAAATAATGGAGGTCTATGGCGACCGAGACAGAAAGGTCCATAAAAGTCCACAAAAAACGTGTCAATATTCCTCCATACTGCTCGTCCAATGTATTCCAAGTGTCCTGAGTGGGTAGCGTCCAGAATTTACTCGAAACGAAGTCATTTAGAATGTTTTTAGAGCATAAACAGTAGTGTATAGGATTTCCTAAAAGCGCGTTCACGAGTCTACGGAAACCGTGGCAGACCAAACCAGCGCATTCAGCTCGGCAAAGAACTCATGCTCTTCCTCAACACTGAAATCCTCAGACATTTTTCTGTCGTCGTTTCTTTCTTTGCACAAGTAAACAGCACATTTCTTCTTCTACGCTTGCATTATCGGCAGAGCAGACGCTGAATGCGCACTTTCATCTGGTTTGGTCTGCCGCGGTTTCCGTAGCGTCGTGATCGCGCTATTAGGAAATCCTATACACTACTGTTTATGCTCTAAAAACATTCTAAATGACTTCGTTTCGAGTAAATTCTGGATGCTACCCACTCAGGACACTTGGAATACATTGGACGAGCAGTATGGAGGAATATTGACACGTTTTTTGGGGACTTTTATGGACCTTTCTGTCTCGGTCACCATAGACCTCCATTATTTGAATGTCAGCAGACAGCAAGAAGCCTCCCAGATCTCCAGATGCATTTGAGATATCAAAAAAGTACTCCAGAGTGTTGTTCAGCATGGGGGTGAGTAGAAAATGAAGGCTAATCATGTTTTGGGTGTACTATTCCTTTAAGAGTTCAATAAAGGATGAATATCGTCATGATTTGCACCTGTTTTTGGTTTAGTTGATTACACTCACCTGATTTATGTGCAGTCATGTTGTTTTTTAATCTTTGTATTCGGTTCTGTCTGTGTGGATTCATCTGCTACCCTATCCCGGATACCTGTTTATTTATTAACTATGTCCCTCATATATGCGCCTGTTGTTTCAGATATTGTATTGTTGGAGTTCGTACACCACACCATGGACAATTAGAGAGACAAGGACATTTTAAAGAAAATTATGCTGGGTTTATTGTTTAAGTATGTTCCAATCAACAGCCAAAAGGAGAAAGAAATGCTTTAACAAACTCAATTTTAGGAGTCAATCCAGGCCTACATTTAGTAAAACATACTTAAATAATGTACCAGGATTCTGAACAGAATTGTGGTCAGAAGAATTTAAGGAAAAAAAACAAAAATTGTACTTTTTCTGGAAAAAAACAAATAAAAAAATATCAGGCAGAAATTTTTGATGGATTTTAAAAAAAATAACTAAGGGAAAGCTATCTTAGTGTCCATTTAGAATCAGTCTTATAAATGTCATGAGCCGAAACATCTCGGGCTGAAGTGTCTAAGAAGGACTCATAATCTTAATTTTATTTCTAAAACCAGTGACTGGTTCTGGTTGCTTGATGGGGACAATTTTTACTTAATTTTTACTCGCAATAATGAAATGCATTTTGTTTTGTTTTTCTTTTTCCAGTGCATCCTAAAAATTTAGGGTGTGGGGATACCTTGTTCGGCATAAATCATTGGAAACTTTCTAATCATTTATTCCAAACAAGAATTGAAGAGTCTTTAATTAGATGTGCCGAAAAAGGCCTAATGAGTATGTCTCTGTACTTAAATGTGTTAGACTGTGTCAGTACTTTAAAACACTTGTAGAATATTTTATATTAAGGGCTTCAATTGTTGCACATTCCCATCATATGGGATCAAATGTGGGAGCTGTACAAGTCTACCAGCAGGTTCAGCACCATGGACAGCTCACTTCTCATAGAGTCTGAAATGTATATGAATAGAATTTAAATTCATGTCTGATTCTTTCTTGTTTGCATCATTTTTAGGGATTTAATTACTTTGATCCTTTGTGCCAGCTTTGGGAAAATCAGATTAGTTATCAGAAAACAACTTCAGCTTGGCAAAAATCCTAGTTTTGGATACTCACAACACTGAGGCTCTATACAAGGAGAGTCAGAGCAGACTCTTCCTGCTGAGGAGACTGAGGTCTTTTGGAGTGTAGGGTGCGCTCCTAAAGACCTTCTATGACTCTTTTGTGGCATCAGCCATCTTCTATGGAGCCGTCTGTTGGAGCAGTGTTTTATCAGTAGCTAAGAGAAAGCGGCTGGATAAGCTGATCTGGAAGGCCAGCTCTGTAATTTGATTTTTTTTCCATCTCTTGTTATCATTACACTGTCACAAGTACAGAGCAACAAAATTAGCTCTCTGCATTTAACCCACCCCCTTGGGGAGCAGTGGGCTGCCACTGTGCAGCACCCCGGGAGCAGCATGGCGGTTAAGGTCTTACTCAGAGACCCAGAGTGGCAGTCTGTGAGAGTGAGGCTCAAATTAAGAACCTCAGTATTCCAAGTTCTATCCCCTAACCACTAGGCTGCCACTCCCAGTTTAGCAGGTGGGAAACAAAAGGACTGTCACTAAAATAACATCTCTGATAGATAATGTCTCCCACCCCATGCATCAAGCTGTTGCAAAGCTGGAGAGCTCCTTCAGTGTCATACTGCTGCACCCTAAATGCACCAGGGAGCATTATCACAGATCCTTCCACCCTGCAGCTGTAAGATTTTATAACCATTACTGTTTCCAACAACCTCAATAATTTGTCACATTCATTCTGATTTTTGCACAGTTTCCATTTTAGTTAAATGATATGCTGCACATCTCTGTTGTTACTCCTATTTTCACATATCCATTACTGTAAAAATGTCTAAAGCTGTATATTGATTATTTATTCTCTAGATACAGAGTATTGAAATTGTAAATACACTGTGCAGCATAGTATTTTATTTGTTTAGTTTTTTAACTAAACAAATTTTTATATATTTTAAAGGTAAATATTTGTGTGACCAGTTTTGTTATAATCATTTACTGCTTTTCCACCACAATTTCCTCATTGTGGGACATTAAAGGGGTTTTCTATTCTATTGACAAAAAGAAAAGGTCAATATTAATTACATATATATATATATATCCTGTGCGCCAAATTTTGGACAAAGGTCGAGATTTTCACTCCCAAAAATAATAGAGTTTTGTTTTCTTTGTCTTTTAAAAGAACATGGAAAACAAACCAAGCTGTTAAATTGCTCCTTATATCCTCATCCCGCTTCCGCAGCTGCCTCTCTGGGTTCTGAGCGTGTTTTTAGAGCTGCCTGCTTTCCAAAAACGTCTGTAGGTTTCTCGCATTGACGTCAAAAAGGAGCGGACTGGATGTATAAAACCCTGCAGACCTCTGAAGTCGCGACTCGCAGGACTTTCCAGAATCAGAGCAGATATTTCTGAAAAGTTCAGCTGCATCAACCGAAGAAAATCAAGTGAGAACTGCTGATTTTTTTTATATTTCTAAGACATTTTTCAAAGTTTTCCGTCTATAGGTCACCTTGAGATGGAAAGACATGCTTTAATATTTTAGGATTTTTGTTTTTTTTTCTAATTTTGCACTTTTCTTTGTCTATTTTACCCTTTTTTTTCCTAAAATAATAATAATTAAATGCAATTCAAAATCAGATAAGTTATAATTGTCAATTTTCACCTGTAGAAATTTCAAAACGAATAAAATTGCAGCCAAATGAAATCTTATTTCTAATTAGATTTCTTGATGAAATATTCTAACGTTTTCCCTCCGTTTTAGAAGATGAAGCCAGTCCCCCTCCTGCTGCTCCTCTCCTCCTTCCTCCTCTCCTCACACCTCCACCCTGCTGCCGGCAGACCGCGCTCCCTCCCCGGCTGGATGGATGGCAGCAGCCGCTTCCAGACGCAGCAAACGGACGATGTTCTCCTCAGAGCGGCCGCGGACCGCGCCGCCTCGGATCTGGTGGGTGACAACCTGCTGAGGCTCCTGCAGCGGAGGGATCCGGACCGCCTCCACCTGCTGCCGCCCGAAGCTGACGCCGAGGAGGACGAGGCGCTGAGGACCGCCGAGCAGCTGCTGAAGCGCAGCGAAGACCCGCAGCTCTCCATCGACCTAACCTTCCACCTGTTGAGGAACATGATCCAGATGGCGAAGATGGAGAGCCAAAGGGAGCAGGCTCAGCTCAACCGCAAGGTGCTCGACGAGGTGGGGAAGTGAAGCTTTCAGAGGATGCCTACTCAAAGTATCCAAGAAGACCTCTTAACAACTTCAGTTCGTGCGCCTGCCTTCCCATTGACATTTTACGCACACATGGTGACATTTTACGCATCTGTTTTACAAAAGAAAAAATGATGGAAAACATAGAAAAAGACTTCTCATCCCCATCTTTATCCCTCAACCAAACATTCCCCTAAACTGGACCAGCCTAAAGAGTGGAAACCATGCAGCTCCCTGTCGCTTTTAAACAGTGTTATCTGGGAATCAGCTGTTGTTTTCATCCATGGCTAAAAAAACAGCTGAAAGATGAATGAGGGTGTGAATGCTACAGTGAAAGTTTGGTACACTATTTGATGACCAGAACTAATCTTCTCAGCAGAACAAATGGAACAGATTTATATAAAAATGAAATCCCACAAAACGTTTGAGGGTGTCTTATAAATATACTAATTTATTTATTTAACAGGGACAGTGTACATTAGTAAGCATTCCTGCAAATGCACCAGAATTAAGGCAATTTTTCATCTGTTTTTCCTGGACAGATCTTAAATTTTGAAGAAAATTGAATTTTACATTGAAAAGTTCAAATATAAAAATAAATAAAAAAGGCTATAACTCTTCAAAACTTGTTTAAAAATACACAATTAATGTTTGCTAGACTAAAAATTTTAGGTTAATAAAATATTTACACTATTTATATATATATACACACACATCAGAGACACAAGTGGCAGCATGGTTTGTTAACGGAATGCATTTCACTCTTCTAAAAGCAAATCACCTCTGATCATTTCAGACAAAGAAAAACTTTAAATTCCCTCAATCTCTCCTTACATCTGTCGCATAACTTTAAAACAAAGAAGGGAATCTTCCTTAGTATGAGCTGAAGTAAATGTTTAAAAACCATATTTTGTTTTTTTTTATCTGTATTATTCAAGCAATCCTTTGGATCAAAGCAGAGTGCTGATTATTTCCTGTCATGTTTTCTTTATCTGAGCAGGAATACAGTCACATTACACACTGTAGCATATAAACCTAAAAAAAGAACAAAAAATAAAAAGAAAGCTCGGTTTCGTTCCGTTTGTCACATCTGGCTTTGTTTTAGCGACGCAGTTTAAAAAGCTTTTTGCCATTTATATTTTGTAATAAAAAATATTACGGTGAATAACTTGGCTTCTGACTTTTTCTATTCTGTTTGATATTTATGCATTCATTCGTTTTCATATTGTTTTTGTGTAGATTGTAAAGTTTGGCTTTAAAAAAGTCGCAGAAATCCTTCATTCTTTAGGGAAAATAGGGAAATCTAATTAAAACTGTAAGAATCAATTATTATGGATGTTATATCAAACTATATATATCATTTTAACCCACCTTTTATCTTAAATAATCTATTTTAAATAGCCGATGTTGGAGAAACCTTTGTGATTTTTTTACTTTCTCTTGCCTTATATTGAAACAGATTATGGGTAAAAAAAAAAAAAAAAGAAACAAATTAGCTGTTTTCCTCATCCAATTAAAAACGTTTACAGCTGTTTAGAGTTTAATAAAATGGATATTTGGTATCTTATATAGCCACTTTCTGCATGTTTTGGAAGTAATTTATTTGTTTAAACACACACCATCTTTTTTTGTTCATTTTGTTCTTTGTTTTCTGCCCTTTAAAAGTTTAAAAATCTGCCTGATAAATTTTGCCTGCAATATAAACAAAAGTCGAACCGTTGATTGGTGCAACGGATTTGCTGGACAGGAACCAATAAACAGCAGAGAGATGTGTCACCGTTTTCATGTCATGTGCTCCGTCTTATCATGCTGACAGGAGTCTTGCAGAAGATCCATGAAGTTTCATGAAGAGTGACAGCTGGAGTCATGAGCGGATTGAGAAGAAACGATAAGAGAACGAGGATGAAAACAAAACTCAGAAGAGAAACTGGCCTCCAGGCTCCTGTGTGTCTGTGACTCAGTTCAAACTGTGGAGGTGTAACAAACTCGTCATCTGTGTGTGAGTGAACAATACAAATATTTGATAAAGGGAATAATGATAATTCAATTATCCTAATCATCACTATTCATTTTCTAAAACTATATTATAAATATAATTTTCATCAATCTCCTGCAGCCATTGGCCATAGATCACCAGGCCTTTATATGGCAACACAACACAGAGACACACAAGGAAAGATTGTAAATACCCCTCGTTAAATGGAAGGAAACCAGCAATGATCAAAGAAATAACTTTAATCTGAAAAGTCATAAATATCAATTCTATGGAAATGAAAAAGTGAGGTCAGACATAACTTATCAGCCTTATCTGAAACAACACTTTTAAAATATAACTCATGAAACAGGTCTGGACAAAAATGATTAACCTTTAACTCAATATTTTGTTGCACATCTTTTGGAGGGAATCTCCAATCTTCTGCTCCTCTCAGCAGGTTTTTCTTCTCATGACCAAACTGCTCCAGTTGTCTCTGGTTTGAAGGCTGCCTTTTCCAGACAAAGATCCTCATTAGATCTTGTGTTTTCCTCTTGGCCATTCTTGGTTGTTTTTAGCTGTGTGTTTTGGGTCATTATGCTGTTGAAGACCTGAAACTAAGACCCTGAAGAGATTCAGACACCCTGTGTCAGATTAAGCATAGCTGCCCAGAGCATAACAGAGCCTCCTCTACGCTTCACAGTAGGGACCATGTTCTTGTATATCTTTTAACTCTTTAATTATTCTCTATTTACTTTTAACTCTTCTATTCAATTCAATTCAGTTTATTTATATAGCGCCAAATTCACAACAC